TAAATATAAAGAAGACCCATCATTACCGAAGAAACCACAACACTTACCATGAGGCCATACGTTTGTTTCCTAAACATTTTACTCTCTTTCTTTCTAATAAGTAGAAGCTTTAACACATCTATCAATATGAGAGTATTCAAATATGAAATTAAACTTTTATCATTTAACTAGGTCGTTCGTTCACTTTAGAACAGTTTCATCTGAAACATTATTCAGCTGACAACGTTAAACAGAATTTGTAATACCCAATGCACATCGTTACATATTTGCATACAAGCATAACAGCGCCATAAATCATCTATAACAACGACAATCCCCTTGTTTGTTGCACAAACTATATACACAAATACATAAACAAAACGCGCCGCCTGTAGCATGGCTATATCGACTCCATTTTCTGATTCAAATTTTGACCTCGAGCAGGTGAGACCAGTTACTTTGTAAATTAACTGGAACATCTAAACTACTGCACACCTGCGCTGCGGTTAACTAGAATGCTAACAATTCGCAACTGTGTTGTAGATGTTGTGGAATCTTCTCTTGATATGTATTATGAAATGAGAAACCATGTAACGATCTCTATACGAGAACAAGTAGAGTATGGTATAAAATCATAGCTTTTTATGTATTAATGTAGTGAGGAGCTCGATGGCGCAGGTGGCTAGCGCGTTCTGCTGCGATCGTTGAAGTTAAGCAACTTTCGCAGTGGTCGGTCATTGGATGGGTTATCAAAAATCTTTTATCTCGAGTTCCTTCGTGCTTCGGAAGGTACGTAAAGCCGTCGGTCCCGGCTGCATCTGCAATGGTTAGCACCCGTCAATCCGCACTGAGCCCATGTGGTGGGTCATGGCCCAATCTCCCTATTCCATCCATAGGGTAGGCCTGTGCACCAGCAGTAGGTACATTAATAGGCTGATGATGATAATGTAGTACGGATCAAGAAGGGAGTTCTTTTAATATGATATCGTTGTTATTGTATTGTATAACATTTTGAGAAGTCGCCTTTTTTAATTTTGGAATCAGAGTAAGAGACAGCACACTTTGCGGTAGACTTGAAATAATACTAGGACGTTATACGGCAACACTGCCTTTATTAACACGTCACACAAACTACTAAAATAAGCATAAGATTAGACAGATGAACTCGGATTAGAATCAAGCACTCTCCGCAGTTACATCCGCAATAATTTAAATTAGCTTTTACGAATTGGAGACGAGCAGTAATCGACAAAAGTGTTGTAAACTTAAAACAAAAAGCAAATAGTACTTGCTTTGTGTGCAGCAAAGTGTGTGTTCGATAGCTTAGTGTCTTCTTTAAGTGGATTTCTCAATAAAAATCAGATATTTAGATTGTAGAATATTATTCACAGTAAAATACAGATCTATTGATTAAGTGCGTACGTTGTCTTTTTTGAATTCGAATGCAAGAGTGAATCTATATAAATTAAAATGAGTGAATGTAGTAACGAATGGGTACGAAAATGAATGTATGAACGGACGATGATGATGGACCGATTGCAGCTTCTCTCTTCGAAGGATAGATGGCGTTAACAGTGTGAACACTAGAATTTAAAGCGACAGTCAAATGCGTTAGCATTTCAGAATGAAACCAGGTAAAGTGTGCTCTACTCTGTCAAAGGATACTTTTACAATGGCCACTTAAGTACTAAAGAACTATATACCATTAAGGTGCTACGCAAACCTGGACACTTTTGTGCCTGGAATCGGATACAAGCTACTAATGAATATTTGATTTAAATAGAATCCATGCCTGCGTAAACGTAAATTCAATTTTTGTGTCCAGTTGCTTCTACTTTACATATACATGTTGATGATCAAAAAGTGTTCGGTGTAGATAATTGGAAACTAAGAGTCGTCAGTAGAACACACAAGCAGCATTAACAAATTTCCTTACGTACGTACTGAGCTGAACCGCCCCTTGGGCAAATCAACTACGATCACCAGTGACTGATGCGTTGAGCAGGTATAAAATTTAATTTACATATAATGTCTGCGCTCAAACAACGCACACATAGAGAGCGTTAACAGACACTATTTCGCGGATCTGTTGAGACTTGGGACCAGGGCCGGATTTAGGATTGTGGAGGCCCCGGGCCACTTAGGATTTGTATTCTTGTTAACCCATCGAAATGTTGTTATTTCTTAAGCTGTTGTGGAGGCCCCTGGGCCACAGCCCCACCTGCCCTGCCTTAAAATCGGCCCCGCGGGCAAGTACCACCCCACTCAGCCATTAAGCGATTGGGGTACTCCCTCAAGATGGGTAGTGAATTGGAAGTGCTTATCAGGGCCATTTGAGATTTTGATATTTCACTGATTGCCTGATTGGAGTGAACAAATATAGATCAATGATTTCTGTTATTTAAGATTAATATAATCAAATAATCATGTATGTTAGATGTACAAAGTACTGTAGGCTGTAGGTGAAGGTAAAAGAGCAAAAAAAAATATCAAAGGAAAAGATGTTTACTAGTGTTTACTAGTGGAATTTGAAAGATTTTTTTTTTCCCAAGTCTCTATTGTGGGGGCCCCCCGCTAGTGGAGGCCCCGGGGCTTTCGCCCCGGTGGCCCTCCCCTAAATCCGGTAGTGCTTGGGACGAATGTGAGCGCAAGACACGCGTCTGTGAACTTTTTAGTGGGTGGAGCAGAAAAAAGTTAATGTAACTGTTCTGCGGACGATTTCTTTAAATAAACATCAAATAGTGAATTGTTGTTTTTTATAACAGTAACATTAAATATTTACTATTATTTATGTCAATATATTATATTTATGTATATTTCCAATTCTTCCTGTTTCATTCTCAACAATAAATCAAACAACTATATATTAGTTAGTATGAGTGGCAATACCACGATAGTTTTTTGTGCATAAGCCAAAGTTGACAATACTAGCGTGACCGCCAAGCGTAGGTATAAAAAGTGTGGTGTCCAATCGCCGCTACAGGAAACAGAAACTACAGTTTCCTGTAGAGGTGGGTCGTCAACGTATTTTTCGTCGACGAAACTAAACCGTCCACTACCGTCCATCGACTAGTCGATCAACTAGTTGAATTCTTCAACTAGTTGACGTGATAACGGCAAGCGTTGAGGGGTTCATATCAACTACGTGGTGACTGGTCTACGGGCGCGACGCAACGACGACGACGGGGTCTTTATTTAGTATTCACTTTACATTATAGTCATTTAAATGTTTACAAAATAAATTACAAATTAAACTCACAAAATAATCATTCAATTCGAATGAACTTTGCACTAAATTCGCATTCACGTGTCCCTTGACCTTGACCTCGCGACACACTAATTTCAAATTTCAATAAACAAAACTCGTTCATCCTGCACTGCATCGTTTACTCTTTCACGCAGTATCAGAATACTCTTGCCTTTTCACTCTAACAACTCCAGTTTAAAAAACGAACAAATATCAACTCCCACGCCATATGCTTAAGTTTCAAATTGCTTTATTTCAACGAATGAACGAACGTTTGGACTTGCAACCGGTAAACCAGATACGTTTACGCGTCGACGTCGCGTTTTCAGTAGATATGAACACTGTGGACTCTCAGTTTAGCCGTCTATGAATTCAACTAGTTAACGAATAAACTGCAGACCGTCGAAGCGTCGATTGAACGTAGACCGTCTATTTAAACCGTTCGTTAATTCAACGCCCATCGCTAGTTTCCTGTGATGATGTGCCGCGTCGGTAACAAAAAGTGTCTACGTTTGCACAGGCCCTATAACAAACGCTTTAATTTATTCGTCTGCAGCCAAATGAAACGCTGACTAATTTCGACTAGCTTTTGTTTCGCTGTTGCATCATAGTTTGATCGGTCAGCATTGGCTGGCTGTGTGAACAACCAAACTTAGCTGTCAGTCAAATTGGAACGCTTCGCGGTTAACTGCACCCATTGGAAATTGGAACTTTGGACGGATGAATGGGAATTCATCCGAGCCAAAGGAATAATACCCGACGGCATAAATTGTCGTGAATGGCGCGGAAGGAAGTTTGCTGTATATATTTAATTTATTTATTTATTGGAACGAAGTTCCTTACGGCAGGCTTGGAGGGGATAGGGATTTTGCTGCGCGACCGAACTGAAAAAAATGTGATAGTAAAACCGTAAGAAAAAAAAATGAGACGTGCGCAGGCGCGACAGTCGCATACACAAGCGAGTTTGCAATTTGTGTCGATTCTACATTAGCCGAAGGAACTTCGTTCCTACCTGGTGTCTCACGACACCACATCATTTTTTTTTTAATTAACAGGCTACGTAGGCCCATAGATAAATAACTTATAGTCTCACACATATACAGACATAAAACATTATTGTTACTAAATAAAATTAATTACTATGTTAGTAAGCACCTAATTAACACGTATAGACGGCGACGTGTGACGCGGAGTGGTGTCAGGTAACCAGCGTCGGTACCAACGGAACACAACACCTTTCGGACAAAGATCTTCCTTCATCGAAAGTCGCCAAGTGTTCGTTCAGCTCCCTCACCACAAAGGAATTAAAATTCACATTGTGACGGGACTCCAACCGTGCAACTCTCAGGGTAAACTTGGTCTTTATTCACAGGAATTCTGGGATCTCCTCTTCCTTAGAGACTGCTAAATCTCGAACGTTAGAGTTTTCATATTTTTTTGGCAACCTTGGGCGGCGCGGCCTCGCTCGCGACAACACAGATCGTGGGACAGCGGCTTTTTGCATCCACTAATTCGCACCGGGCCCGTGTGGTGGATCATAACCAAATATCCCTATGCCATCCATAGGGAAAGCTTGTGCCTCAGCAGTAGGACATTAATAGGCTGATGATTAATTAAAGTTTTTTTTATAGTTAGGTCCGACAAATGACTCCACCCCACCTGATGTTAAGTGAAGGTGAAGTCCAGACGCGAAGATAGCTGATACAGCAGTTCTACCTGCTACACTAGCCATCCTCACCCTGCCGGCCTGCATGTTGCTTCTTCAAAGAAATAAATGAAAGTCATGCCACCATCTTCTGTCCTTTTCCATATTCTGACAACTAACTCTTTGTCCGCAGTGGTATGGCAAGACTGGCAGGTGCGTGTCACATCGACGCCGGCCGAGGCAGGCGGACCGGTGCTGCTAACGTGTGCGGCGCCCGCCAGTCTGCGCGAGCACGCGTCCGTCGCCGCCTGGTACAGGGACGACGCCGTGCTGCCTGCCGCTGACCGCCTCTGTGAGTATCGAGCTGACAACACTGGCAGGAGCGTGTCACATCAACGCCGGCCGAGGCAGGCGGACCGGCGCTGCTAACGTGTGCGGCGCCCGCCAGTCTGCGCGAACACGCGTCCGTCGCCGCCTGGTACAGGGACGACGCCGTGCTGCCTGCCGCTGACCGCCTCTGTGAGTATCAAGCTGGCAACACTGGTAGAAGCGTGTCACATCAACGCCGCCAAGGTAAGATGCGAGACGCCCGCCAGCCTGCGCGAGTACTCGCCTGTTGCCACCTGGTACTGGGAGGACGCTGGATTACCCACCGCTGACCACCTCTGAGTATTAAGCTGGCAAGACTGGCAGGTGCGCGTGATATTGACGCTGGCTGTCGAACTGAACGAGCACTCGCCCGTCATCACTTGGCACTGGGACGTCGCCGTGCTGCGGCTGACCCCATCTGTGAGTATCGAGCTGGCAAAACGCCTTAGATTAAAACAAAAATGGTAGATACGGTACGCTCATACTTGCATCAAACAAAAACTGATCCCACGGCAGCGCGAATGGGACGGCGAGATCCGCTTCACTGCATTACCGTGTAACAATTTTAGTTACCACCGACTTTTTCAGGGTTTACATGAGACTCAAGATTAAAAGATTCTATATTCAGGGCGCCGTAATACTGTTATTTGAGGGAGATAAATAAAAATGTCAAGAACCGCAGTGAACAAGATATATATTGTTAATATTCAGATCTTATTTCATCATACTTAACAAAATTAATACTATTTATAGACAACTTTATAAATATACAGCTTTTACAACCTCAAAGATTTTAACTTCAGTGATGTTCATACATTCAAGAACATGTGTAAATGCAGAAATATTTATTTAAACATTTTATATAAACATTTGGTTTTGGAAAATAACAAACAATAAGTAATGAAATTTGAATTCTTCTTATAGTGGCTTTATAGTTTACTAATATAAATACTTTATTACGTTAAACAGAAATTTTGTTCTTCGGAGTATGCACCGGTTAAATATTGAGAAGGTATAAGTTTTACTTAGCTTTAAGACCACGGGAACATCAAGGTGACTCAAATGTCCTCAGGAATGAATCAGGACGTGCTGTCATCACATGAACCCGTCTACTTTCGAAGAATGCTTCACAGGCTCATTTATATTTATATATATATTTCCAAAGAAATCCCAACCAGGATTAAGTAATTGTGATTATCGTATACTGTTTTTAATTAGCCACTTCAAAGGACCTAGAAACAATTACACATTTTTCTATAGTTCAATAAAAAAACCTAACTTGACCTACAGCCTAAACAGTTAGTTATATTGGACTTACCCGTTAATCCGGGGAAAATATTTTAATTAATTATGCACTGACTATACTTTCCAGTCACTGTGCAATTAACTAGATGTTCAAGTGTTCGGTTCGCAGACAAAAGAGAGTGAAATCGTCTGCGCAAAGCTATTTATAGTGGCCTAGGATCACGTGACGGCGTCCTAGCAAATTTCTCTCAAATCACCATATTTGGTGCGAGGAATTGACAGGACCGGTTAATACGGCTACGCCCATCTCCCTCCAAGAAACTGCTTCCTGAACAATAGCTAATCACGTCATCAATACGTGTAATTTCATTTAACACTATTAAATACAACTCCATCTATCTCATCATTCAAATACAACTATCATATTTTTTTTTTTATAATATATTCTGTGCTTCTTTAAAACCAATTACATTGTTAGATGATGGATACGTATGGTGATAGATGGCGCTTTGATTAGTAATATTTCTACAACTTAATATTCTAAAATTATATTGCTACAACCGACCCGAACATAACAGCACGTTAAGTTTCAACGGCAGCGCGAACGAGACGGCGAGATCCGCGTCACTGCACTACCGACCAATCACGCGACCAGTTCTCGACGTCACTACTGAATAAGATTCAAAACAAACAGCAATTTTTATGAAAATATATATTTTATAGTACTTACGAATGAAAAGTGATGCCGTGGGTTTTATTGTTAGTTCTTGAGCAATTTGAGCACTTTTTAAAAACACACTTAGGCATTGTTTTATCATATAAACACAAAATATTAGCGATATTTCTTTTTGGCGTTCACATATACAGTTGCGTTTGCATGTCAAGTTGTGACTAAAGCGATTAGAGTCGTGGACCACAATTCATGCGGATCACTTTTGTGAGGCTAGTGCCGTATCTACCCTTTTTGTTTTGATCTAAGCAAAACGCGTGCGGACCGGCACTGCTGAAGTGCGGACCTCATGAACTTTACGTCCTTCATGAATTTGTAAATAGAATATACAGAAGAAATGCCTCATGAATACGCACTTGATGCACTTAATGTTTTCAATGGTGTGAGTTGTCTTAGAAGTCCTAAGGTTCTGGTCGGTCCTGTTCTTATATTGTATAAGTTTGCTAGAGCTGTACAGGAAATGGGATGGGTCAGACTAAGTACTGCTTGAATTATTCTTCTCGTATCATAAGCATATCAGCATGATGACCTTAAACCGCCACATAAGCCAGATGTTTGTCTGTCACCATTTTCCACCAAAACAAAAGTAACCCACTACAGAATTAGAAGTTTATAATGATTTTTTTCCTTTGTAGCTGGCAACACCCTCCTAGTAGACGAGGGATGGCGGCTGGTGGTGCGCTCGGTGATGCTGGAAGACTCCCGGGCACAGTACTCTTGCTCCGTGCTCGACCCACTCACGGGCGAGAGAAGAAGAAGTACGCCTGCAAACATCGACGTAACAGGTAAGTAAGCTTCTATAGAATGTTGGCTAAAGACTCTTAGTAGACGAATGTTCGCAGCTGGTGGATCGTTCTGGGCCGGTAAAAAACTCTGGTAACTCATTCACGAGTAAGAAGAGAAGATGCATGCTTACAAGCGCCAACGTAGAAGGTAAGTTACTTATCTTCTGTACAAAGCTGGCCTCCTAGTAGAAGAAGGCCGTAGCTTAAAGCACTCAGCTCAAGGAGAGGTGAAGAAATATGTTTGCTACCTTCGCCGTAGCGTATCTGTGATCTTATTCAGAATACAGTAGATGCGCTCTGTGTCGGCAGAGGGCGCTTATTGGCAAAAAGGAGCACCCTTGCAGGTCTGTGATCTTCAAATATTATCTGCCTTTACATTCTCTTATTGTTCAAAGGGAGAGAAAGAGAAGGCACTGTCTGTTCTTATTTATAATCAAGCCCATGTTCTAAATATATAAAACTCAAAAGTGACTGACTGACATAGTGATCTATCAACGCACAGCCCAAACCACTGGACGGATCGGGCTGAAATTTGGCATGCAGGTAGATGTTATGACGTAGGCATCCGCTAAGAAAGGATTTTGATCAATTCTACCCCCAAGGGGATAAAATACCGAAGCGAAGCGAGGGCGGGCCACTAGTTAAAGTAATAAAACCGAAGTTTTTTATGTGCCTTCTTATTGCTGGTAGTCAAAAGAATTAATAATCTTCGCCATCGCTGAATCTTATGACATCTTTACAGCTATGAGTGTGGCGTCAGCACCTCGCGCCATCTCGCACAGTCAATGGGAGGCGACCGTCCGTCGGGGCAGTGACGTGGTGCTACCATGCTTGGTACACGCCGACCCTCCTCCTACTGTCACGTAAGTACTTAGCCAAACTACGTCATAAACAATAATGTATACCATGCTCGAGCAGAGAGTTGGTTCAGAACAATTCATACAAAACACTTTATTGAACACCACAGAATACATTACAATAAATACAGAGCCATTTATATTAAGTGTTACAATGGGCGGCCTTATCGCTAAAAGCGATCTCTTCCAGACAACCTTTGGAGGGAGAGGATTAGAAGGAAGTGGAAGAGACGGCGGCGTAAATTTCAATGTAATTTATTAATATATATATATATATACATACACAAACAAATACACATATATTTTATATTTATAAATATATATATATACGTATAAACATATACATACATAAATCTAGTCCAGTCGGTAGAAACTACAAAAGAGATTATAAAACAAAAAAATAACATTACAAAGACAAATAGTGAGACTTCACGGGATTCTTAAAAATGTGAATCGATTCCGCACTTCGTATTCGCACTGGGAGAGAATTCCACAGCTGAATGGCTCGAACTGTAAAAAGTTGTACTGTGTACAGGAGTCATGAGGGTAAGATTCTCTGATGACCTAAGAGATAACATAATTTCTGTCTTGCGCAAAGGACACCCGGCATTTTGTGCCAAAGTTGTATACTTTTTTAATTTTTTTATCTGTGTTTCATAATTGGGTAACGTAGTCTGGCAATATTTGTCATCAGCAGCTAGCTGTCAATGTCAAATACGTAGGTTTGTCAATATAACCTCTATATGTAGCCGGGTCGTCAAGAGAAATAACGGATAAAAAGGCAATCACAGCAGAGAACATTCACAATCACAGTTCACGGGAGCGGATGCGAAATGCGAATAAATAAATAAAATAAATAAAATAAATCAAATTGACATTTGGTTTTTTATTTAGAAAAAGCAAAGGAATAATGGTTTTTACAGTCACTTGAGTAATATTTTGAAGTAAGATTCTGTCCCTTGAAGATTTAGGGTTTCCATATCAAAAAATATTAATTATTATATAACTTCTTTCCACGATTCACTAAAAATAAGGCAAAATTAGTTTTATGTAGCAAATAATTTTGGCTTTATTTTGAGACCAAATTCAATTGTATACAAGTTTAGCATTTTTTCTATGAAAAGTGCCGGGTCTCGATTGCGTCATTTTTACATTGGGAGTCTGAATTCTTACCTATTTATTCGCGACTAGCTTATATATTGTGGCGGAGCTCACACAAAAACATCAAACCTATAAAATTACTGTTAATATATATCCAAAAGTTGTACGTTAAAAATATTACACTTTTATGGTAAATACAATTTTAATAAAACAATTTAAATCAGGTTTGTACTATTCTTTATGTTAAATTACATAAAACCATTTACAAAGTGTTTATATTTAATGACAAGAGTGGTGAAAACATAAGATGAAGAAACAGATTCTTAGGAATGTATTTTTAACATCATTACTGATCTAAAGAAAATATAACTAGAAAAAATTCCACGCGGACCAGGCAGCAGACGGGACTCGAACCCGCACCCTTCGCAATCCGGCCGAATGCACTGACCAATTATGCTACCGCGCCCTCACGGACCGCATCAAAATTCTTCTAGCCATTCTTAAGCTGCAAGGCAGCGCCATCTCTTCGCATTATATGTTAACGCCATCTATCGTAAGCTTGCGAAAACACATTTACCTTATCCCTTCCTCTAAACTCACCTGTTGTCGACTTCGTCCGCGGCGCTGCCATCGCTGCAATTCGAACCAACGGACGAAAAAAGGGCAACGGTCTTTGTGTGCTCTGATCGCCGAGAGGAGACACCAAGAAACTCCCACGACGAGAAAAAACCGCGCTCCGGAGACGCTTTTCGCCTACACATATTTCCGCCCCGGGGCCCGCGAACATCCCGCGAACATTAGTGTAAAAAAGAAATAGTGGCGCGCCACAGGCGAACATTTTCAGGACAGGAAGAACAGGCGTCAAGGAACCAGCCCAACAAACCAACAGGTACCCCCTTTCCCACAGTTTCCCTCTAGTTTTTGTGTTTCCTTCTTGTATATAATCGCACATCCGCGCCGGGAATTTGTTTTGTTTTATGGCGTGACCATTATTTAGTGGTCCTTCAGCCGCATTCATCCACCCGCCCTTACTGGTATTTACCCAGTAAGAGTATTTATCCGCTCCAATATTGTACATATTATATATATTTTCGCTTATTTTTCGTATTATAAGCCCGCAGCGCATTTTCGTTCTCATAAAACGAAAGCACGGTGTCGTGGCTCGCTCATATATATATCTACCGCCCCATTAGAATAAAATTATTCATCTAATAGGAGAACAATACAAATTATTATAACACCCATATGTATTTATATAATTAATTAAAGGTTCCAGTAAATACTTAACCATTATAAGTATACCTACATTTCAAAGTACCTACATATTTGATATTTGTCACATTTATGTACCCGTGATTGGATATTTTATAAAGGTGCATAGAATAAAAACAACAACGCTTACATATTTAATTACTTACGCATTTGTCATTTGTTTGCATTCATAATGGACCCGAAAAAGGATTCGCCTAGTACGCAAAATCAAAAATTACTTATGTTGGAAGCTAAGCGTAATGCCTTATTTGAATGCATGCAAGAGATTTATGACTTGTCAAATACACTAGGACCCGGTAATCAAGGCGTGGAAATTTTCCTCGATGCTAGTAGTAACATTGACACATTACGTTCTGAATTTAAAAACTTATTAGATGAGTACAACAGGTGTTTACTAAAAGAGAAACCGAACTTTGCAGTAGATTACAAAAGCTTTGTCGCATTCGAACGACTATACGGCCGGGTTAAGAGATTGGTGACCATTCATAGCCGCGATCTGCTTGCCGAGAAGAAGAGTGAAGATGCACCGCGTAAAACGCGTCCCTCCTTACCACCGTTAGAACTCGTGTCGTTTGACGGAGACATACGCAAGTGGCCTCTGTTCTTCGCTAGTTATAAGTCTACTGTTCACGAAAACCCATCGCTTTCAGACGCTGAGAAACTTTATTATTTGTTAGGTAAAATTTCGGGTAAGGCTCAAACCGCTTGCGCCGGGATTACCCCCTGCGCAGAAAATTATGATTTAATTATTCAAACGCTAGTAGAAAAGTATGAGGACAAGCGTACTTTAGTCAGTTCACATATAAACAATTTATTATATTTTAAACCCATACAAAGCGCATCAGTTGTAAATTACGATGCCTTTCTTGAAAATTTCGTAAATTCAGTCCGCGCACTCCAAAATATCAAGGTAAACGACCTTAGCGATATTATTGTTTTGCAGTTGGCGTTGAGAAAATTAGACACTGAGACAATACGTAATTTCGAACAAAAAACCGATTCTTCCAAACTACCTACATTCAATGATTTAGTAAATTTTATGCAAAATCAGTCAAAAATATTAACTCGTACGGCAGTAGCCACCTACACCGCCACCTGTTCGAAACAAACAATTGGAAATATTCGCTCGCGCTCTAATATTAAGAATAATAATAATTCGCCGCCAAACTATCAATCATATATTGTTAATTCTGTTGTGAACAGCGCCCGCGGTTCTCCGGCCTCCAAATGCATGTGTAGTAATTTCACACATCAACATTTATTTAAATGTTCAAACTTTAATAAATTATCTCCTTTGGAACGTTTTAAATTGGCTAAAGATTTAAACGCATGTATAAACTGTCTTAGTACAGTACACAAAGTTTCGGCTTGTAATTCAAGTATGTGTTGCCGTGTGTGCAAATCGAAACATCACACACTATTGCATTTTTCCAACATAACAACGAATCCAGGCGCACCGGTGACGTCAGCCGACACAGCTGCATCGCTCACGCGCACACAGCCTACGTCGTTGACTAATACAGACGTAACGCTATGCGCTACGTCTAGTGATTCATTACATCGCTCCAGTAAGACACCGCGTGACTGTTTCGCTGATACTACGCAATGCACACCGCACACAACTATATTATTAGCGACCGCGCAAGTTTATTCTTATGACTTGTCTCATAACAAACACACCGTTCGTGTTCTGTTGGACACCGCTTCGCAAAGCCATTTTATAACTAAAGCAATGTTGCGAGCGTTTAGGTATACAAACTAACGAAATAAAGCGAACGTTAATCAAAGGTTTTGGAGGTTCCGAGAATATCGTAAATAATTCCGCTAACTTTAAATTTTCTTCTCGGTTTAATGCAAATATAAATTTTAATGTAAATTGTTTAATTGTTGAGAAAATCACTGAAAATTTACCTTCCGCTGTGGTTGACAAATCTTCGTTGCCACATTTTCTCAACTTGCCATTGGCAGACGAATCATTTTCGATACCTGACAAAATAGATGTTTTGATAGGCGCCTCGTTGTTTCCGCATTTATTATTAGCCGATGTACTCCACCACAACGGCTCGGCGCCCCCCGCGATTAATACAGTGTTGGGTTATATTATTATGGGTTCCGTACCCACCGCTTACCACCGCGCCGACGCGTCGTCACCGCTCACCTCGTGTTGTGCTATCACCGCTCCCGAATCTATAGAAATGACTTTAAAAAGGTTCTGGGAATTAGAAGAAGTACCTTCGCCGTCCATTCAACGTCCGGATGACGTTGAATGTGAAGAATTTTATTGTTCCACCACTGTAAGGGATCCTACCAGTGGCCGATACGTCGTGGCGTTACCTTTTCGTGAGGACGCTTATTCCCTCGGGAATTCCGAGTTCATCGCTCGCAAGCGACTTTTGTGTTTAGAGCGCAAGTTAGAAGCGTCTCCCAAATTGCGCACCGCTTATGATGCCGCTATCAATGAGTATATTGATAAACAATATTTATCTCCCGCTCGCGCGGAAGACCCCACTCTTCCGTCGTATATTATTCCGCACCACGGCGTAGCCCGTGTTGACAAACCGCTGCGACCCGTGTTAGACGCGAGCTGTAAAACGTCGACTAATATTTCGCTCAACGATATTCTGCACGGTGGCCCTA